GTGCGTGTTGTATTGCTGGTTACACCTATTTTTGCGTGCACTTTTTCCTGTAACTTTTTTTGGTCCATGCCATGGATTTGGAACTCAGGAGTTTCTCATGAAAATGTGTAGTGGCCAAATTTCTCCTTATTCCTGGAAAACTCTGAAGGGTCCGAGGTCAGGTTATTGGAAAACCCCGGGTTTTGGGGTTAAAGGGGGTCTTTTCAGATGGATTTGGAAAAAGACAGGAAGAGGTAGCGTGGCGTTTGCATGTTGGTTATGGCAAAGGTGGCCGATTGCCCCCCTGCTCCCCCTATGCACGGCCCTTTGTGCCAGACCCTCCTTCCAGGTTGCCTCACCCCCCTGATTGTGAAGCTCTTCCCCCAAGGCCCTCCACTGTTGTGTTTCCTCTACCCCGTGTCACAAGAGGAAGCGTTGTGCTTGGGTGGAAGACTCATTCTGGGCTGTGGGTCGCTGCAAAGACATAATATTTGTGATCAGGCGCGCCTGCTGGTGAAATATTTCACTTGACTAATAGTTAAAAATGTTTAGCGAAGCATGGTGATCTGAGTGCCCCCTCTGTCTTTTTCTCGCCTTTTACGTTCTGGTGCTTTTTCAAGAAATGGAGCGTGTTTTGATTCTGGCAACAGGTGGCTGGCTTTTCTTGGAGACTAGTAAGACTTACTCTCAAGTAAGGCGTTGTAGGAGGAGAGCCGCGTTAGACTATGCAGGCAAAGTCAGAAGGAGTCTGGCAGCACCTTTTCCAACTGACACATGTTCTTAAAAGCCGAGCTGCGACTCACGAAAGCTTACGCCTCTTAATAAAATATGTTAGAACAGGCGGTACGGGGCCTCTTCTGCTCCCAAGTACGGATGGCTTCGCATGAGATAAATTAGCCAAGTTAGAACTGGAAGAAGAGATTCTCATAAAAGCTTTCCTGGGCCAGCTTCACCAGTGATGGGTCCAAATCATATTCTGTGCCAGCTGTAAGTATGTGCTGTGGAACAAAATGTCTTTTTTGGGCCCATTGAGAAAAGGAAGGAACGATGGGGAAGATCATCTGAAACTCTGGAGTTCAGATGAGAATTTTGGAACCATCACGAAGTGAAGTATCTGTTTTTCTGGGAACGACGGAGCTGTGAGTCATCAAGTGCTGGAAAACAGTAGGAAGGCCTGCTCCCTTCTTCTCGCTTTGTATTGCGGAAGTATCCTCTTTTATTCTCCGGCACTCCTGTTTACATCCAGCCTGCAGATCTTCCAGCTACTCCACGCTTATTTTCTGCCTGAGTCCCCCCCTCATCTGTTACGAACGTTTAAGCATTCTGTGACATCGCAGCTGGTAGATGCCTAACTGGAGAGAACATGCAGTCTTGGCAGTTTTCAGGGGTGGTTTTGCTCTACCCAAGCACTGGGCGGCTGCCTTAATCCAACCGGACCTCGTCCTGCAGATGTTTGCAAGACGGAGGCGCTTCTGCCTGCAGCCTTCTCTACTCCTCTGCTGGGCAGAGGTCCGCTTCTTTCTGAAGTCTGCAAAGGATACCTTGGGCCCATCACATTTCCCGTAATGCCCTTGTAAGCATGACTGAAGTGGGATCTTCTTCCCTCTTCCCCCAAAATCTTTTCTGCAGGGGAAGGCAGTAGTGAAACTCTTGGGATTATATTTCTCACCGAGGGGTGTTAATCCATTTTAACCCATCACCAGTGGCTTGGCGGAAGGAGACTGGGGAAGATGCTGTTCCCATGTTTCCCAAGAGCCTGATGCTGCCCTGCTGGTGTGGCCCCCGTGCGGAGAGGCAGCCGTCATTCTTGCGTGCCCTTTTCTCCCCCCACCCATATCCTTTTCTTCTTTGTGTCATTCGCAGACTCCCCGCCGGAGAGGACAGGGCAGAGACGTGGCATGCCTGGTGGGGCGCTTGAGAAGAACCCCAGCATGGAGCTGGCTGCCACCACCCCCTTCCGCGTCACGGTGAGTCCCTCTTTCTGCCCTCTGTGCATGTTCTGGCTGCCCATGGCAGGGGGTGTTCTGGGAACTTGAAAAGGAGCAAGACAAGGCAGGAGGCCCCGGGGGGCGGGTGTCTAGCCCTCTGAGCACCTTCGCTTTCTACCAAGCCCAGATTTGGGTGCTGGTTGGTTGGTGATGAAGTCTTTAGCAAGGGACCTCGGAAACAGGCCCCCACACTTGGGGGTCTTCAGCTGCTCTGGACTCATCTCCTGGAATCCCCTCTCCTTGGCCATCCCGGGTGGGAGTGGTAGGCGCTGAGGTCTCAGTTGACCAGCAGCAGCTCCTTGGAGGGTCTGATTCTCGGGGGGTGAATCGGGGCCCTTCCACTTGCAGGACAGGGGCCCTGCCCTGACCTCAGTCAAACCGTAGAAGAGGAAGAGGAAGGTGGAGGCTGGAGGGAGGCCAGGCCTTCTCTGCTCCCCTTTGGGTGTTTCTCCAAACAGTTGGGGGTTAAAGGGAGATCGTGGCAGCACGAGGGGCTGTCTGAGCACCCAGTCTGGTGGCCCTTGAGGGAACGTGTGGCCCTACGAAGGCTCAGAGCTGGCACTTCTGTCTTGCACCACCTTCTCAAGGGGCCAAGAGTTCCCGAGGACAAGCGCTTTGGCCCTGCTGGAAGATGGGGTTGGATCTCCAAGTCCCTTCCAACCCTACAGTTCCACGTGGGGTGGGGCTTTATAAACTCCCCGAGTGGCGAGTGGCTCCTGGCCTCCAAAGGTGGAACCACCCGAGCAGTATAAAGCCACGGAGGAGACTTCGCCCAGCTGGTCCTCTCCTTTCTCCCTGCGAGGCTCCCCGGCCAACAGGCATCGTTTATCGAGTTTGCCACTGCTCTGGGGGAGCAAAGCTTCCTTCCCCCGCCTGCCTCCCCTCCACGGCCCCGACTTTTCACGGTTTTCCACTCGAAGAGACAATGCATCAAAGAGTAGCTGGAGGGAGATCTTAATGGAAAGAGTCTGAGTTTTCCATTGGCGAGGGACGCTCGTCTGGCTATTATTTCTGTCGGGTGGGCGGGGGGGGGGGGGGGCAGGCTGCCTCCCTGAAGACTCGGCTGGAAGGGCAGCCCTGCCCCTTAAAAAAAGCCTGAGCGGGAGCGTGGAAGGAGAAGTTCTTTTGTCACTTCACCAGATCGCTTCATTTTTACCCGCTTTGCCTGGATAAACCAAACTTTGGTTTTTAGAAAAGCGTGTAACAGAGAAGATGCTTGTTTCGGAAACCAAGCAAGCCAGCGATGACGTATCTCAAGCCCCCTGGCTTTGGGGAGATGGGGATGCGATCCTGGGGCACCCAGGATCGGGGCTGCTGTGGGGCGGCTGTGGTCCTCGCGGAGTCCCAGCAGGCGCAGCCAAGGGGTGGTGATGCCTGGTGTGTGGGACCAGGTGGCCCAGCCCTGCTGCGGTGCCTGCAAGGGACCAGCTCCGGAGACCTGGGACCTTCCGTGCCCAGAATCAGGGCCTTGCCCAGAATCGGGGGGCCTCCTCTTGGCGTCCCAGGTGGTCTTCTCTGAGGCCTTTCTCCAGCCTCACGTGCCCTGCCCCAGCTTCACTTCCTGAAAGCCCCCCGCTTCCTGGCACCAGGAGAGCCCCACTTTGCGCCGTTAGCGCAAGGAAGCCGGCCCACGTCATGTGTGGCGTGAAAAGGGGTTAATGCAGTTTTCCCACCACCTCCTATAGACAAATTCCTGCCATGTAGCTCCGAATCGCCTCCCTCTCCCCCACAAACTGCATCTGAGTAAATTATATTTTAATGGTGTGCTCTTCTTCAAGAAGATTTTCTGCCTCACGGAGAGCAGAAAGAGTGAACTGCCGTTCTCCGCGGTGGGAGCCCTCGATCTTTAATTGAAACCTAATTGTTTACTAAACCGCTTGAACCAGAAGGGAAAATTACTATAATTTGGGTCTGTGGATGATTCCCTTCTCCCCGGCTTTTTTTTTTTTTAAAGCAAAACAAAAAACAAAAAAAACCCTACGGGTGTTGAATTTTAAGGGGAATAGGCGCATTACCTTCCATGATACATAAACAGCAAAGTGATTATCATTAAACTGTCAGCAGCAACTGGGTTTGGATAAGGAGGCTCGAGTCTCGGTGTCGGCAACAAATTATATGCAAACCATTTTGGAGGATTTATCGGTGGATTCAGTTGATGGGATGGGAAGAGGGGAAGGATTCCCC